CCCTGGACCCTAAACCCTAAAGCCTAGACCCTAAACCCTAAACCCTAAAACCCAACTATGCGTAAAGGGTCCTCAGGTTACAAGTCGAGGGCTTCAGTCTTCACCCTAAGGCTCCATGTACCCATATAGTAGATACTTAGGCCTTAAAGTACCTATATAGGGACCCCTTTAAGGCCTAAGTATCTACTATAAAGGTACATGGAGCCTTTGGGTCACCTGGCAGGTGCAATTCGTTGTTCTCTTAAAGCATTCCGGCAACGTGTCCGAAAAATGCGTCAACGTCCTCGTGGCTGTGGGCACTTTGTAGGAATCTTGCTTCCGCTCTTCCCACTTTCCTCGCCGCAACTAGCTAGTGTGGCGAGGGTATTGTTTTTGGATTCGCGAGCCCGTGTTGTCGGCGTGCCAGATGATTTCGCAATGTCTGAGGTCTAAGCCGTTCTCGGTCAACCGGCCCAAAGAATGCGAAATAATGTCACCATTGCACGTGAGTCTTTGCTCACCCACTGCTCGCTCACGGCGAGGACCGCGGAATGGCCGTGGACGATGCATGCGACAAGCTCGACATTGGGTCGTACGAAATGGCTGACTTCTTTCGCCTCCGTCGCCAACGACCTCGGCCATCGAAACTTCGACTTATCCATCCCGTCAATTATCAGGCATACCGTCCTTCACCCGGCGGGGCCAGTCGCTGCTGCTCTGCTCTGATGCTCGTATGCAGCTTCCCATGCCAAGACGCTCCCTTCAACTTTGCTACCTTCAAGCAACACTGCAACACCAATGAGGTATAACCACACCCATTCTCAAGCCCTTACACCTTCAGCCGATAAACAGGTAAACCCCGAAGCCCAAAACCCTGAACATCTCGCACCACTACACCCTGATGCAACATACCCAAACCCCGGCCTTGCAAAACAAAGAACCGATTGAAACTCACCGTTCCCCAGTTAAAACCTCTTGTAGTGGTACATAGGATCCTCTTACTTAAACGCTAAACCCTAAACCCCTAAACCCTAAACCCCTAAACCCTGAACCCGAAGCCCAAGCTAGTAAACATAAACTGTCTCGAGGCCTGGCAACACCCGAGATGCTGCTTGGCGTGCCAGAAAACCGCTGACTATCTCCAGAAGCTCTACCGCACCGGTGTAGCTAAATCATAGACCACAGAGCCCCTGAAGCCCATAAGCCCAAAACCCTAAGCCCTATAAGTCCCAAACCCTAAACCCTATAAGCCCTATAAGCCCGAAACCCTAAACCCAATAAAACCTATAAGCCAAAAACCTTAAACTACTTTAGGAGATAGGATTAGGGGGGATCCTTGGGGATGTAGACCCTCTCAATAAGGTCCCTTTTAAGATAATCGTAAGTGTGGTTAAGAAGGGTTCCCCTTAAGCCTCTCTAAGACTACCTAGCATACGTCATGCATCAGTATTTCAACCCTAAACCCTAAACCCCAAACCCTATAAGCCCGAAACCCTAAACCCCATAAACCCTAAAAGCCCTATCAGCCCAAAACCCTAAACCCCATAAACTCTATACGCCCAAAACCCTAAACCCTAAAAGGCCTATCAGCCCAAAACCATAAACTACATCATGCCTCAGTCTTGCAGGATTCAAATCCTTGAGGACTTGTCGGGCTCAGGGGCCTTACGATTCAAGGCTTTGGGCACATGGGCTTAGGGTTTAGGATTTAGGGTTTCAGGGTTTAGGGTTTAGGATTTCGGGTTTCAGGGTTTAGGGTTTAGGGGTTTAGGGTTTAGGGGTGTAGGGTTTAGGGTTTAGGGGTGTAGGGTTTAGGATGTATGGGTTTAGGGCTTAGGGTCATTTTCTAGCCTGAGGGGACCCCCCAAACCCTAAACCTGGGAAGTGCTGAACCCTCAGCTCTCCGAGCACTAAACCCTAAACCCAAAACCCTAAACCCTAAACCCTTATCCCTAAACCCTAAACCGTCCCTTAAATTTCGCCAAGCTTGACCGGAGGCTGGATCGCATCGGCCTGAAAGATCACTCTGATGGTCGGGATGTTCGGAGTAAGGGACTGAGACCTAAGTCCTCCTAAGCGGCCCGAAACCCTAAACCCTAAACCCCTGGACCCTAAACCCTAATCCTTAAACCCTTCAACAGCTTTGGGCTTTAGGGCTTATAGGCCTGAATCCCGGGTCGATGCTGTCTCGTTGTTTCGGCAGGAGCTCGGCTACCCATATGGCAACTTAGAACCTTACTTTGGGCCCTGCATATATGGCACTCACTGGTTGTTTAAGGGTTCCTATAAACTCCAACCCAAGAGTCAGTACAGCAAAGCAGGGCTGAATTTCATGCGTGCTTCGGAGGCTGAATCTGTTGAGTTGACTGAACTTACGTAACCCTGACCATGCACCTATAGACTTATTACAGGGTTCAGAGTTTAGGGTTTAGGGCCCTAAACCCTAAACCCTAAATTATAGAGTATGTACCTATAGGCCTTAAAGGGGCTCCTTTTTAGGTACCTTTCATGCCAATGGGCTGATGTACGTACTAGATAGGTACATGGAGGCTTACTAATTAGAAAAGCGTTTTGGGGTAGACTATACTAACTATAACAAGGAACCCCCGAAATAATCTACAATATAAGTATACGACCGAAATAACCTATAATATAAGTATATGACCTTATGAGGAAGCTTAGGACGGAGTCTTGGGGAAGCCTACGGGGTATGCTAGCTTCGAAAAATCGATCGAGGGCCTATGCATTGCATCACAGTACAGGGCTTAGGCTGAACCTTCGGCTCTGGAAGTTGCTGCTTGAACCCTAGAATACCACTCTAAACCCTAAACTTTCAAAACTTCTAAACCGTAAACTCTAAACCCTAAACCCTAAAACTTAGGCTTTAGGGTTTAGGGAACCCTTGAACCCTCAACCCCCAAGCCCTACCGCGCAGCCCTCAACTGCGCGTAGCTCTCAATAGACTCGGCCTTCGAACGCAGAAAACAGCAAAATTGGCAAGAAAGGGGCCTGAAAGATTTCAACAGGGTTTGTTTTTTTTGTAATATGTCAGTGGGAAAGAACCCCAATTTATGCGCATTGTGAAACCGCTCTTCAACAGTTTGT